AGCAGCAGGTCGATCGTTCACAAGTTAAATATAGAATAAATGTATTATGTTAAATTAAAACGTGACGTTTCATTTCACCATGCCCTGTCCTGCTGCCCACGGGGGTTTGATTGACAGGCGACCTGTCCAATCATAACGCCGAATATGCAATTTTGTCAGACAACAATGCTGTCAGTAGATTAACGTCGGTGGACTTGAACTTGAAAACGGTATGGTTTAAATTATTTAATTACAATATTTGAAAGTTGAGACTTTGTTTCATATCAACAGTAAGCTGCTCTGAACTCTCTCTCGTAGTCAATTGTGTAACGTTAGTGTGTGAGTGAGAACATGATGTGCGTGACTCGTGAGAGCCGCCTGGCTTGTCACACAGTACTTAACTAAAAAAAGGCGGGTCTTTGCGAACGGTCACTATAATATTAATGATAATGATTCCATGATAATGCATGGAATATTCGGCAAAGCGCTACTAAATAACAGGGCTAATTTGTGGGGGGCGTTGCGTGGTAAGGCTTTGGCAATCAGATGGCTAGTATTATCTGCTCCACAGCCAATCAAGGGCCCCCTCCTTGTTCGGGCCCCGGGGCTTTAGCCCCGCCTAGCCCTATTGTTAATGCGGCCGTGCTCGCGTTGCGCGCACACACATAGGCTCAATCTATCACCACAACGCTCTCTCATGGGAGAGGGAACATAACACATCCGACCATCGCCAGATTAATGGGTTAACACCAGGCACGTGCCCATAATGTGCTCCCGGGGACGCGGCAGACACTCCCGTCTTCAGTGGGCAACAGACGTAAATCGATCCCTCTGTATGTGTGCATGTCTGTTCTGTGTACTAGACTCAAAGCGAGGGAAAGAGTGATGGGTATGTCACCAGTGCTTGCTCTGCTGACAGTGCGTAAGGACTGTTGACAAGTTAAGATGAAGCCTCACACAGGCTCTCTCAGGAATAATAGGGCCCTTTTTCTTTCTGTCAATAACCATTAAGTGTTTTGGGGTGTGTGTGCACTCAAATAATAATATAGTTGCCAACAATATGTGGAATATATGGAGGTGAAACTGTGGCCTGTTTTAACAGTCAACCAGGCCCATTTCATCTGGTTATTAAGTAAAAACCTTAAATGCTCCTTAAAAATAATATTTCACTGCAAAAAAGGACTCTAATGCTTTTTGTTAAAAAAAAATACTTGCAACTTTTAGGAACACATAGATCAATGCAGCCTTTTAATTGTATAGGATCTAATAGGATTTTTTTAAGTAACAGCAAGTAACCTGTTAATGCATTTTTACAGAACACAGAAACCTCTCCCAACACGCACTGCTGCATTAATAAATATGGTACAGTTGTTTTACCCTTTATTTCTACAGTTTATTCAAACATGTATATCCCTTAACATTTCAATTTTAGTTTATTTTTTCTTTCATGATGATGTCAATAGTTGAAAATGAAAATTCACCCTGTTTCTAAATGCATAGTATTTTTTTATTGTTATATTATTCGTCCATATATTAAATGTTAAATAAAAATCTTTTTAAATTCAAATATCATAACTCAATCTTCTGGAGAAACGCAGACTTCTCTCTGGTGACGAATGCCAGACTTCTCCAATCATTTAGTTGCTTATACTCCGCCACTTCCTCACAATGGTCTGCAAGCTTGCATTGAGATCTGCCTCCATTCAATCAATAACCGATAGACTGAACCAAATCCGCACCCTACTATATTTCCGTTAAATTGCGACTTTAAGACAGTACATTTACATTTAATCGTTTAGCAGCAGACGCTTTTGGTAAAGTGTTGATGAAAAAGATGCATCTAGCTGTTTCTTGAAAGACTCAGCAGCTCGGGTTGAGTTAGGTCATTCCACCAGCAGGGAACAGTCCAGTTAAAGGTCTGTAAAAATGATTTTATGCCTCTTTGGGATGTCTCCACAAGGAGCCGTTCGCTTGCAGAACACAAAGCTTCTGGAGGGCACATAAGTCTGAAGAAGTGAGTTTAGGTATAGGGGTGCCGACTGCAGAGCCAGCGGTTGTTCTGCAAACATCATTTGATGCAAGTGCCAATTGGCAACCAGTGCAAATTGATGAAGAGAGGTGTGACATGCGCTCTCTTCACTCTTGCTCCAGCGTTCTGGATCAGTTGCAGGGGTTTGACAGTACATGCTGGAAGGCCTGCCAAGAGAGCATTGCAATAGTCCATTCTGAATAGAACAAGAGCTTGGACGAGGAGTTGTGTAGCATGCTCCGATATGAAGGGCCTGATCTTTAGCATTAAGACAGTAAGGATTTTGCTCTCCTTGAATGTACATTTATGATTTAATTGAAGGGAACAATCTGCATAGTATTTGTTTTAGATACCTTCTTAAAATTGACAAAAAATGATGGCAGATTTTAAGTCTTGGCAGCTTGATATTTTGGTTCAGTGAAGACATCTACTTTGAATAATGAAAAGTAGACACCTATGTTTTACACCTATTTTTTTACTATGTTAATTAACAAGTGAAAATCAAAGACATCATTTGATATCAGCATCTGCATGCTGAAATTTAGGTTGTATATGTTGTTAAAATGCACAACATGCCTTAAAAAGAGACTTTCTTGAAAATTTCAAATGAAATGCCATAATAGTTCGCAGATACTGATTTGTTTTTAAAGCTCTGGTCAAGCAGGTTCCATTGTAACATTTGAATACTGGTTTCTCTCTTCCTCCCTCTTTCTCTTCCTTTCCATCTCCCTCTCACCGGTTGTCTTTCTCTTTCCCCTCTGCGTTTGTGAATGGGACCTGCGGCCATTGTCTCTGTGTCAATCACACACTCTCACACACATACCCAGGAGACACACAATTGACATTTGGCAGATTGCTCTGTGTGTGTGTGTGTGTGTGTGTGTGTGTGTGTGTGTGTGTGTGTGTGTGTGTGTGTGTGTGTGTGTGTGTGTGTGTGTGTGTGTGTGTGTGTGTGTGTGTGTGTGTGTGTGTGTGTGTGTGTGTGTGTGTGTGTGTGTGTGTGTGTGTGTGTGTGTGTGTGTGAGTGTGTGTGTTTTAGGTTATTAAGATAAGGCAGGTATGCCGTAGGTTCTTCATTAACATGTTAGGGGATCTCATCATCCTTTCTCCTCTAGCACTGTGGCCGTAATTGGGTAAGGCTATTAGACACAGAGTGATCACGCCTGTGTGATGGCAGGAGGGGGATGGTGGCGTGGCCAATGGGGGAGGATGGAATCTTATAACTATATGACTGTGTGTGTGTATGAGAGCACATCTATATCAGTGTGTATATGTGTGCTGATGGGATTGGACTATTAAAGCTGATGTCGGTTTAGGTAGACTTTAATAGTCCTGCTAAGCAGCGGGTAATTGGCCGTATCCGGAGAAAGAAGGAGAGATTGATTTAGAGGTGTCTGGGTTTAAATGGACACCTTGGAGGATGGAATTTTCAGCTGTAAAGTCAGGCTATGTAGTGCCACTTGGCATCTGTAACTACAATACGAGTAAGAAAAAAGGATGAATATAAATACCCTTGTAATACTAACCATGTGATTCTTAATAAATTGATCCTGAATTTTTATTATATAGAGTACAGTTTTGAATGTGCCATTCTGTTTTTGTTTTTTTACTATCCATGGCTTTATCTTTGATCTTTACTCTATTTTGTAACAACCTTGTGATCTCCCTCCATGTGGTCTAATTTAGACATTTTCCTTCCATTAACTGAGGGTTTGTGAAGGATCGGTGCTGCTAAGACATATCAGCATTTGTACTTGGTATTGCTACTGATTTTGCTGTCTTAAATCACATTCCACCTTACTAATCAGATACTGGCTAGAAAAAAGCTGAAGTGAGACAGTGGGCCTCTTAATTTATCTTGTTAAAACAGGAGGAATGAATGGTGCAAAATACAGAGCAATTTAAAGCAAAATTGTTTCAGTCTGACCAAAATTGAATATTAATCTAAGAATGATAAAATGACAAAAATATCACAATAATATATCATGTAATTTAAAAGGACAGTTTAAATGTACACTATCAGTAGTGAAAACTTTCAATATTGTATATACCTATATTACTTAGGCTTATACAGTGCTATATTGCAACGTGATGAAGCCTCTTTCCGTTTAGAAATTAAACACTGCCATCTAGTGATTCTTGTGAGGTTCACACACTGTTGTGAAAACCACAAATCTTTTAGTTGAAAGAGATTAAATAGTAATAGTAATAATAATGATGATAATTAAATGTGTAATAAAAAGTACACTCCCAGGATGAGTTACCAGAATTTTACTTTAAAGTAAATTTTGTGAAATTGTTACAAACTGAGAATTAGATGGCTGTATATTTTAGTTCCTACTTGTAGACCTAGGCTATGTCATTACATTTTATAATGTTAATATAACTTCTTTGACATACCTATTAAAATCTGTTTTGTTACTCTAAAATTTGGGCTACTACTAGGTGGTATAAAAGGCCACACGATGACGATTAATTAATTTAAATTGGCTTCTAAAACACGTTTTAACATTTTGTTTTTAATCGTTGAAATAGTTCCTTGTTAAATATACCTTTCATCTGTAAATTATAAGGTTAACATTCTACATTTTACTAAAAACAATACAATATTTTTTACAATATTAGGCCTCAATTTCTTTAAAAATCTAATATTTGTTTAATAACGTTTGTAACTTACATTTAACCAATTATAATGTTTTACATACTTTTCCCTTTAAACACTAACCTACAGTGTGTCTGCGACTTACTGCCGAACTCTATCGATTGACGTGCAAGGCGAAGAAAACACACATAGAGAGGGGAGGAATAATGTGTAAAATCAGTGCAGAACGGTTCCATAGATTCAGAAGTGTGCAATGATGTGATAATTAATAACAAATTGCTATTTCTAAATAGTGTATACAGTTAATATTATCACTGAGCGCCGTGTCATTATCAAGCAATATCAGTATTGGTTACAAATCTCACCTTGAGCGGATTGGTTTGGCCCTATTCATTAACGGCACCTCTCAGCAGCACCCCTCCCCCTCGAACCAAACGAAACGCTTTATCATGAAAGGGATTTAATTAGCTACATTTTATTATTTGTTATCAGTCTCAGTATCAGTACTGGAATGCGACTAGTAAATCAGAACCGATTCTCTTCGCCTGTACAATAACCATTATCGCATCAGTCATGTATCTTCTGCACTCGCTGCTGCAGATCTGTGCGCTGCTTGATGCGACACTGTGGCTGGCGGTCTCTGCCAGCCCTACCGATGATAATGTACTGCGGGCCGGCCATGGAGAACACGGAGAGCCGGGGCACGAAGAACCACATAAGGACTCCTACAGCACATTCGCCTCCGAGTTCCTCGAGTCCAGATACCTCTCAGACGAAGGTACGAAGGAATAAAAGGACAATGCTTAACGTTACATTGAAATCATGAATGTTTTTTTTTTGTGTCGTTTTCTCTGTTAATGTGAGTGCAATTCTTAGAAGCAATACATGTAACGTTAGTAATGGTCACACTGTTTGATGCCCTCCCTCGGCCACACTACAGGCCTTTTAATTAGGTTAATTATATTGTCTGTTAGTGATAAATATTAGCAATACTTTTATGAGATATTGTTTTTACTTCACTGATCCTTTCCACGAATCCTTTCCATTCATATGGTATAAAATCAGCACCTTGGTCAGCAGCCCACAAGCCTGTGAAACTCATTTCCAGTTATCAGCAGACTTTCCCAAGTCTAAGTCTATTAAGCCTGTCTATTTTATATTCAGTATACTGTATGCAGATGCCCAGACAGTGATTCATAAAGTCATGACTTATGACATATCAAAGGGATAGAATAGAATACAATAGAATAGAATAGAAATAGGAACTCTTAATACCACATGACTGGGTCAGTGTTGTAGATAGATAGATAGATACAGCTATGCAACACACATGATGGGACAATGTTCAATAAAACATGTTCAGTCTGTAAAGCTGCTTTGAAGCTAGGCCTATATGCATTGTGAAAAGCGCTATACAAATAAATGTAAATTAAATTGAATTGAACATAAATTAAAACTAAAATTAGATTTTAAATTAAATCAAAACAAATGTCATTTTTCAAGCAGGGAATTCTGAAAATTCATGTATGCAGCATACATGATGGGACAGTGTTCAGTTGTATAAATGTGTAAATGTAAAACACTATATGAAATGTACAAAACCATACGATATACACTACCATTCTAAAATTTGGGGTCAGTAAAAGTTTAATGTTTTTATGTTAATATATCTTCAGTGTTACATGATCATTCTTATATGTTGATTTGGTGCTCAATATATATTTACTATTTAAAAAAAAAAGCTTAATATAAAGCTTTTGTTACATTATGAATGTCTTTACTGTTCTTTTTTGACCTTGCTGAATAAAAATATTAATTTCTTTCTTAAAAAAAACAAACTTACTTGACCCCAAACTTTTCAGTGGTAGTGTCATATATAATGTACAATACAACAAGATATAGGCCTAGAGGCCTCTAGGGGGTCTGTGCTGGTATTCTAGAGGTCTACTCAATGTTTTATCTCTAACCAAAAAAAAGAATCTGGGGAAAAAAAGTGTTATACACCAGTACATTATGCAAACCCAAATCTAAAATGAAGAAACTGAAGTTCAACTAAATCATTGACCCTCACACATTACTATGTATTAAGTAAAATTAAAATGTAATGTAAAAAATATATTGCATCATTGTTGTTTATTTTAGTAGTAGGACTAGCTGGAACCAGTTCATTAATGTATTGGTTGTCTGATGTCTCATAGGTTACCCCTTCCCAACTGCACCCCCTGTGGACCCATTTGCCCGCATCAAAGTTAGCGACTGTGGAGTAACCAAAGGATGCATCAGGTGAGCGCATGGAACAAAGGTTAAAATTAGTCTAGAAACAATATATTATTGTAGTAGTGTCAAATAGTGTATTGCATGCTGTATTCTGCCAGTACACTCAAGAGTTATAAATGTCAATCACCCAATAGCGCTGCTTCTCTGTGTCGTTCAGTGGAATGTTCTGCAGCATGAAATATACATACGATACACATCATGTAGAATTCTTGTAAGTCTGTGTTGACGATTGTTCTAATAATTAGAAACAGGTTGATGGTAAAACCTGCTGGGCATTACTGCCTGACGCGCCTACGCGATTGTCAAATTGCCAGCCGCAGGGTCATCAGCAGGGAGCCACCCTTCACCAATGTTTCACCCCTTTAGTCCCAGAACATCTCAGGGTGGTGGGGCAACGGACAGGGACGTCTCCCTGCGGCTGGACTTAGATCTCAGGTCCTTTTGCCTTGAGGCTTCTCAGCACCCCAGCTCTTGCCATTCCTCCTCAGCCATAGCCAAAAGCTTCCTTTTCTTCGCCTCTTCGGCAAGATCTTAAAGGGATAGTTCACCCAAAAATGAAAATTCATCAAATGTCATCATTTACTCATCCTTATGTTGTTCCAAACCTGTGGGACCTTCTGATGTCCGTGAAACACAGGAATCAACTGTTTTTGTCCATATAATCAAAGTCAGTGAGATTCAAAACTACACAGGACCCCACTGGCTTTAATTTTATGGAAAAATAATGAAAATATTTAATAATAAATCAAATATTTTTCAAAATATCATCTTTTTCGTTCCACAGAATAAACAAAAGTCAAACGTGTTTGGAATGACATGAATAAATGCGTGCCTCCATTTATTTGTCTCTCTCTCTTGCTGTAGATATGGCAAACCAGGCTGTGACGCAGAGACCTGTGAATACTTCCTGAGTTTCAGACGCATTGGCACAGATGTGGAATTCGAGATGAGTGCAGACACTGACGGATGGGTTGCGGTCGGTTTCTCCTCTGACAAAAAAATGGTAAAAGGGGAGGGAGTGAATATAAGGTGTGAATGCTTTCAGACCTGCTGAGAAATACACAATAATATTGTTGTTGTAGGGAGGTGATGATGTCATGGGCTGTGTTCATGACGATAATGGACGTGTACGGATCCATCATTTCTATAATGTGGGCCAGTGGGCCAAAGAGATCAAGCGCAACCCGGCACGGGACGAGGAGGGCATTTTTGAAAACAACCGCGTCACCTGCCGCTTCAAACGGCCTCTTCATGTGCCACGGGAGGAGACTCTAGTGGACCTGCACCTAAGCTGGTACTATCTGTTTGCTTGGGGACCTGCCATACAAGGTAAGTCATTCAGCCCCATTTTAATTGTGCTTTTTTATGCTTTAGTTAAGAGTGTAATGTTGCTGTTTGAGGATGAAAAAGGTCTGCAAAGTTACAAAGCACAAAGTCCACTTCAAAGGTAGTTATTCTCTATATCAGTAAGCACTGTTTCTGAACTCTCTGATATGCCTCGATTGTAGTCTTGAGGTTTCTTCTGGGAACGCACACATCACAATATTCCTCATTTAAATAATTCCAGCCCAGCCCCAAGAAAAGGGACGAGGCCTGGTTGAGTTGCATTAGTAGCGATCACAACACATTGGTCCAGTCGACCAATCAGAGCGCTTTTTAGAAGGCAGGGCTTCAAAGAGACGGGAACTAAACGGGGATACGCTTCCCGTACAATGATGTAACTCACTGCTTAACCACGTGGTACGATTCATCGCTGTAGAAACTTAACTAGCTAGTCACGACTGTTTCCCGAAACCGGTTGCACCTTTTGTCGTTTCAACCACATTAGTTCAACAATATAGGACTGTCGTTAATGACGTCACTTGAAGGTGGTGGAGTAATAACTTCTGCTGATTAATCGATTCGAGAGCGCAATTAATGTTAATAATATTATTATAATTCATTTACATAAACAACAGAGAGCTGTTAATTTTTTTTAATCACATTAACATGCAGTATTATTTGGCATACACCACCCGTATATATTCGGTTCATTCAGTCAGCAGGTTTCTCTACGCAAAGTAATTTTTCTGGCATGCTACTGTAACAAATCGTGGGTTCCATCATACTCTGAGGTTCCCGTAGGCAAAAACGGGGCTAAATGTTGACATGCTAAAATATATAGATTAAAATGTGTATATAATATATATATATATTTAAATTGGGTGAAAGATATACAATGTACTGAATGTTAGCTTGCTTACTGTGCCCAAGAGCACGACCTATTTAAGTCCACATGCCGTTTTATCTAGAAACTATGCTTCTAACCACAGCTCGAGAGCTGTAGTTCCAAGCATGTAAGTTTGTGACACGTTTTGCGAATGTTCACTGGTACTATGGTTCCAGGAAATGTCAAATCGTTCTACTATGTTGGTAACGATGGAACTTGCGACCATAGTTGGCTAACAATGCTTTTGGGAAACACACCCCAGAGTGTTTCTGACAGACTGGGAAGAGAGGTGCTGCAACATATGTGTAAAATAATGTGTTTTTTGAACATCCAAGTATGAAAACCTACCCCAAAAACAAAATCACGACTTTGAAAAATGTCCCCTTTAAGGCTACAAATTCAGCTCGGTTCATGATTTTTACCCTGTTCACAGACATTTTGTTCTGTTTTTCTTCTCAGGTTCCATCACCAGGCATGACATTGACTCCCCACCGGTGTCAGATCGCATGATTAGCATCTATAAATACGAGGACATTTTCATGCCTGCCACAGCCTATCAGACATTCTCCTCTCCCTTTTGCCTCCTCCTCATCGTTGCTCTTACTTTCTACCTGCTGATGGGCACACCATAACCAGCCAAGAGAGAAGGAATACAACTAACCATGGAGACACATACAACTAGCTTAACAGTATTAAAAACAGGCAGCAATAAATAAGATGACAAACACATTGTGATTCTACAATATCCTCAATCTACATAAACTAAAATGGCATTTGGACTGCGGATTAATATTTAGTTATATACAAGCAATGATTCTCATTCAAAGGTGAGAGAGTCAACCATTATACTGTATATTATAACCCTGAATGGTATGTTACTCCGTGGTAAGTTTAGTAGTTACCACGGTTGAAATAATTGAAACAATCTGAGCCAAATTAATGTTAATATTCAGTATACTTAAGGTGCGGTCACAGTGAACTTTTGGGTGCAAAAAGTTGCCTAAAGTGATGCATGTAGCAAAAACATTGACCAACAGCTTTCTGTTGGTCAATGCATCGAATCCGTAAAAAAACTTGAACCCATGGGAAAATCTTTTGCCGAAAATTCTCGATTGTGTGGATTCCTATTGAAATGACTGCATTTCAGCTGTGAAAATTCACCAAACAGCAGTAAAAGTGTCCAAACCTTTACAGTGGCACATATCATGACACACTTTGTCCCACCACAGAGCTCTACAGAGAAGTGAACTGCCTCCTATTGAATTTGAATGTTTTGCCAAATCTCAGTAAAAATGCTCTGCTGTTTGTAGTTGCCTGCTTTCCACTATTTTTCCAGTACATTATAGCTCTGATGAACATTTATTAATGCTGTGAATTTTAGAGGGATGTAAATTAATGCCTGTGACTGACTACGCAACTTACAGCAGTACATAATTGGCCCTCCAGCACAAACACACACACATAGTATTCATAACACATCACTGCCTTCCAGTTAGCCAGCTCAGTATTTGATGATGCATGCCAGCAAACCAGCTTCATCTGAGCCATTTAAATCAGTGTTCACTGGAATAGAACCAGTCCAGGAGAGAATCATGTGTTTTTTATTCCAATGAATCGAAGACTTTCTATACCAAGGACTTCATGCCATTGCAAAAGTTACAAATGTTCCAAGAATTGATTGCTGCCTGTGTAGAACAATTTGGATCACACCAGTTAGCGTGTGGTTGTATACAGTTCTAATTCTTTGGCACTCTTTGAGAATATCCTGTAAAAAAAACACATTTGTATTGCAGATTGAAGAGCGCCATGTAAAGATGTTTAGAAAAGTACTTTGTTTTAAATACATTGTTATATTTACCTGAAGGATATATATCAGGAAATGTACCTACTTGGAGGAGTGATACGATTCCTTTTTGATATGTGCAGGCCAGAGATAATCATGTAATGTAGCATGAATGGAGACATTGTATGCTAATGGTCAAGGAATAATGTTTGTAAGGTTGCCAGTGTTATATTTTAATATACTTTTGAAATGTTGACATTGACAGTATCAGAGAATATGCAATGATGAGTGTGGTTAGTGAAGGACTGTGAGCCATTATTTTAATTTGAACATGTCATACAAGCTATTAGCAGCTTACATTCTGAAAAGTTTACTGTGAATTCTCTCCCTAATTGGAAGCAAAGATGCCTGTTTGATGTTCCTGACACATTCTGCACTTTTTAATAAAACTATGAGACAGCTGAAAATGTGTACTTTTGTTATATTTGTCTGGATAAAATGGGAATGTTTTCCAAATATCTGAACTCATCATGCTTGTACATGGCGCCTGGAAAAAACAGTATTGAGGATTTTTAATCATCCAATTCAACTCCAATCTTTTGATTCAGTTCAATACATTCACTATCACTACCGTAATTCAGTCAGTGACTTTTTCTGCAGGTTTACGCCAGTAGATGGCGACAAGTGCTACGAGCGTGTCACGAATCAATGGGTCAATCACTCACAAACGATTCATTAAAAACTAAAAACAACGAATCGTACGACAAAAGTCTTATATCGCAGAAATAGTAGGCTATTACTTGTATTAATAGTATAATAGAAATAGTATACCATTTCGAATTCAAGTTGGAAGTAGTTTCCCCGCGTGACGTAAGCAGGCTCTGCCAACGGCTCACTACCCCTGGCACGAGCTCGTCAACACCACGCTCTTCGCTAGCGACGTCGGCATCGAAGTTTGAGCCGAATTGATAAGAGATGATAATACAATGCTAAATCATAAATCAGATGTATGTACAATAACATTACGATGTCCAGTAATCGATTTAAATAGTACATCGTGTTTAATTTGATGTTTAATGAGATGTAATGTTGTTAATGCGGAGAATCTTTTCTTATGAGGCCTAAAACTGGCTTAATCTAAACCCTGTCTGTGAAACCTGGCCATTATCCAGAGTCAGCACAGTCATTTCCGTTACAATTTTCATCATTTTCAATGATGTGATTTTTAAACAGAGTCGTCACTTCTGTAACTTGAAACTTAATGACTGACTTTCTTTTTTCTTTTTTTAATGACTGACTTTCTTTTTTCTTTTTCTTTTCTCTAACCCTAAACACAAAATATATTTTTTAATAATTCGAAAATAATTCGTCAATTTAATTATATTATGTTAAAAGAAGAAAGATTGTCATACTGGTTTTGGAACGAGCAAATAATGGCACTTGTTTGGTGGTGGGAGGTGAACGATCCCTTTATTCGTTCAAAAACGCCTTTGAACTGCCACTTAGCCACTATATTGAAAAACAACCCAAGTAAGATGGGTCATGTTCGCTTGTTTACGGCATTCGAATACTACTTTATTAGTAAAGATAATATTTCAGTCGTGTCTGGTAACGTTAGGTTGAAAAACATTATTTGACTACATTTCCCAGGCTACTTCACACTTTACGTCACTGCCCAACCCGCAGTTCCATAAGTGGTGGATCCTCCGGACTGAAACGCAGCGATATAAATGAATCCCGTTCAGCACATAAAGTAAACAATGAGAGAGAGATTGTGAAGAAGCAGCAAATAGAGACCTTGCCTGTTGAAATAAACCAGAGTCAATTAGAAACTAATCCATATATACAGAAGATTAATGAGGATACAATGATGGTGGATAAAATAAATTTTATCACTTTCATATGTAAGGTTGTGAATGTGGCGATACAGCAAAAGAAAAAAAGTGATAGAATCAAGACCATTGTAGAAGCAGCTATAGAAATTCTGGGGATTAAAGAAGTTACAGCTGAATTGATACATGAGATGTTGAATCCTTCCAATGATGGAGTATCTCAAGGTGATTAGTAGTTTGATCATGGTTTTCCTTATACTCCAATGGAATGCCAGAAGTCTTATAGCGAATGGGCAAGAATTTAAGAAGGTTGTAGATGAGTTGGAAGTTTTACCTGATGTTATGTGTTTACAAGAAACATGGCTAAGAACACATCTGGAATTTGTTATTCCAGGATATAATTCTATTAGATGTGATCGAATTGATAAACAAGGTGGAGGATGTGTAACATTTATTAAGGATAATATAGCATATAGACAAATAAATGTTCCAAATGAATTTGAATGCATAGTAATAGAAATTTGTAGTCCCAGAGGAGATATCAAAATAGTCAACTATTACAATCCTTGTAAAAAGCTGTCAATGCACAATTTTCATATGATTTTAGAAAATGTTACCAGAAGAGAAATTTGGTGTGGTGATTTTAATGCTCACAATACACTATGGGGAAGTGATCATACTGATAATAATGGAGAAATAGTTGAAGAACTAATAGAGGAGAGATCACTGGTGTGTCTTAATAATGGAAGTGGAACTAGGGTGAATGTTATAAGAAATACAGTTTCATGTTTAGATCTCACGTTAGTCTCTGGAAATATTAGTAATATTTGTGAATGGAATGTTAAGAATGATACTAATATAGGTAGTGATCACTTTCCAATATTATGCTCGTTGAATTTTGATGTGTTTATTCAGGATGAATATGTAATAGAAAGATGGTGTTTTGGTAAAGCGGATTGGAGAGTTTTTAAAGATTATTGTATTGAAAGTTCTGAAAGATTATCAATGGAGGGTGATGTTGATAAATGTACAGAAACAATAACCGCTATGATTATCAGTGCTGCATCAGCATGCATTCCTAAGAGTAGCATAATAAAGGGGAAAAAAAAGAAAATGGTTCCGTGGTGGAACAATGAATGTAAAAATGCTATTAAAGAAAGAAATCATGCGTTCAGGATTTTAAGAAAACATTTGAGTCAAGATAACGTGATTGAATACCAAAGGAAGAAAGCAAGGGCAAGGAAAGTAATTAAGTCATCCAAAAAGAGTGCTTGGAGACAGTTTTGCTCCTCCATTGGCAGTGAAGTACAATTGGGTGATATTTGGGCAATGATTAAAAAAATGAGTGGGAAAAGGAAATCGGTTAATATCCCAGCATTGAGAGATGGAGAGTATATGGCAATTACAAATAAGGAGAAAGCTGATTTACTAGGCAAGAAGTTTGCAAGTGTGCATAGTGGAAGTCATTTGGATGAAATGCACAAACAAAGAAAAAAAGAAATTTTAAGAGATAATTCTGATGTGACAAAGAAAAAGGATTGTGATGGTTCGGCTCTTGATATGGAATTTACTCTGCATGAGATGAAACTGGCTTTAGAGGGAAGTGGTTACACGTCCCCAGGGCAAGATCAATTATGTTATGTAATGTTTAGACAGCTACCTGATGAAGCATTGGAAATCATATTACACCTGTTTAATAAGATATGGAGAGAAGGCGTAATACCTGTTAGCTGGAAAAGTGCTCTGATATTACCTTTTGGTAAACCTGGTAAAGACCTAGTGAATGCAGGAAACTACAGACCAATTGCACTAACTTCTCATTTATGTAAATGGATAGAAAAGATAATTGTTCGTAGACTGGCATATTATTTAGAGCAAAGAGAACTGTTAAGCCCATGTCAAAGTGGATTTCGTAAAGGAAGATCTACGATAGATGCATTAGTGAAAGTTAGCAATGAAGCAGAAAAAGCAATTGGTGTGAAAGAGGTTATGAGTATAGTATTTTTTGATATAGAGAAAGCGTATGATTCTATGTGGAGAGAAGGTTTAATGATTAAAATGCAGAGAATGGGGATTGGTGGAAGACTTTACAACTGGGTTTTAGATTTTTTAACTAATCGGATATTTCGTGTTAAAGTTGGAGATGCTATGTCAGAAGATTTTAATATTATAAATGGTATCCCTCAAGGTAGTGCTATTAGCCCGATTCTTTTTAATATTATGATAAATGATATTTTTATGAACGTTGGGAAAGACATTGGATCGTCACTATATGCAGATGATGGGGCTATATGGAAAAGGGGGAAAAATATTAAACATGTGACAAATAGTATACAGAATGCTATATTGAATATTGAAAGATGGTCGTATGAATGGGGATTTAAAATGTCAATTGAAAAGTCATGCTTCATGCTTTTTACTAGAAAGAAAAGGACAGATACGGTACAACTGAAATTATATGGTCAAAGAATGGAAAGGGTAACAAAGTTCAAATATTTAGGGCTATGGTTTGATGAGAAATGTATATGGAGGAATCATATTAATCAGATTGAAACTAAATGTAAAAAGGTAATAAATCTAATGAGAGCAATTACTGGGTATGAATGGGGAGCAGACAAACTCTCACTTATGGATATTTATAGGGCATTAATACGGTCGTGTATAGATTATGGGTGTATAGTATATGGAGCAGCAGCTAAAAGTATTTTGGAAAAGCTTGATAAAATTCAGTTCAGAGCCTTAAGAATCAGTATTGGTGCAGTTAAAACAACACCTACTAATGCGCTGCTGGTTGAAGCTGACGAGTTACCTCTTTATTTAAGACGTTCTAAGTTATCATTAGTATATTGGGTAAAGCTAAAAGGATCTGGAGAGGAACAACCCGCTGTAAAGGTGTTAAGTGATTGCTGGGAGTATACACAACAAAGAAAATGTAAAGGTTTTGGTTGGAATATTTCTACAGTAGCTGAGGAATATGGACTAAACAGGGTAGAGTATGGACCAAATACTGTATGGGGTAATGTTCCTCCATGGATATTCCCAGTGATCAAGGTTGACTTTCGTCTTATAGAACTAAAGAGAACATGGGCTGAAAGGGAAGTGGATAATATTGGATGTTTGGTTCATAAATATGTGGGAATTAATTATTATAATTACATGACAATATTTACTGACGGATCTAAAGACCCAAGGAGTGAGCATGTAGGAGTAGGAGTATACATTCCAGAGTTTAATGTTGTAATTTGCAAAAGAATTAATGATGGAGTATCTGTATTTACAGCTGAAATTACTGCTATAATCCTAGGATTACAATGGATAGAAGAGGTGAGGCCGGAGAGAGTTGTAATTTGTTCAGACTCTGCTGCAGCTCTTAGTAGCTTAAATTCAAAAGAAACCTCTAGAGATGATTTATTGTTGGAAATATTTACAACATTATTAAGAATACAAAGAGTTGGAACTGATGTACAGTTTTGTTGGGTTCCTGCTCATGCTGGTGTAGAGGGAAATGAGAAGGCAGATGAGATTGCTAAGAGAGCGTTGAATTTAAACAAGAATGATATTATGAAAGTTCCATTTGGAAAAGGTGAGGCTAAATCATTAATTAATAAGGTAGTGAGGGATTTGTGGCAGAAGAAGTGGGACTCAGATAACAAAGGAAGACACTATTATAATATACAAAAATCAATCACAGTGAAAACATATAAAGGAAAGTGTAGAAAAGAGGAAGTGGCTCTTGCAAGACTAAGACTTGGACATACTGGATTAAAGTCAACTTTGTTTTTAATGGCAAAATGCATTTCTGATAAATGTGACAGTTGTAATGTACCAGAAAATGTTGAGCATGTTATTTTGTGGTGTAATAAGTATAGTGCTGAGAGGATCATTTTACGTGGGAAAATGTACGGATTAGAACGTGGATGGAATTTGGAAGGGATTTTAGGAAGGAATGAGAAGATGAGGGAGTGCTGGGAGGCTCTCTTTCGTTTTCTAAGAAATACAGGATTAGATAATATTATATAGGTTAGATATAGTTGAGTTAGTTTCTTTTGCATATTTGTGTGAGTATGTGTGTATACATGTATGTGTATGTAAGTATATGGGTGTATATGTGTAAGTGTGTGTGTGTGTTTAATAATTATTATTATTATTAGCAATTTTATATATATATATATATAAGTTGTTGTTGGGTTTTTTTTTTTTTTTTTTTTTTTTTTTTTTTTTTTTTTTTTTTTTTTTTTTTTTGGTTTTTATTTATTTATTTATTTAGTTTATTTTTATTTTATTAAGACCTGAAGTATGTAAAGCCCTGATATTACACACTCCTGTACAGTAGGTGGCGGTATGCACCTATAAACACTGGTTTGCGATCCGCCATTAAACTGAAAGAAGAAGAAGAAGAAGAAACGCAGCGATGCCAGCGACCATGGCAGACACAGAGGACCCTGGTCCAGGCGCGGCCACTGACCCGGACACCCCGCGCACAACCCGGCCACACTTCGTCTCGTTCAGCGAGACCGTTCAGCCAGCAGTCGGGATGGTTAGCCAACTACTGAGCCAGCAGTCCCTGAAGTTCGACAAAAACATCAAACAGGCCTTCTACAACACGGGAGCGATGATCTTCGTAGCGATCTGTTGCGGAGCATCGGTGTTGGTTTACTTCATCCTGGAGGCTTTTCTACGGCCGCTGCTGTGGGCAGTTCTGTGCGGCACTTTCCTGCACCCGTTCAAGTACTCGCTCGCCCGCCTCGGCCGCTCTTGGCTCAGCAGGCTGCAGGACAGCGGGACGCCGATAGTAGTGGGCACTCTGCTGGTACCGGTGTGGTGCGTGAACTACGGGGTGGAGACATTGGGTGAAATGGTCGTAGATCGGCTCAATATACTGCTGGCAGTTGGGGCTGGTGTACCCCTGCTTTATTTCTTATATCTGTTCTGGAGCGTCATTGGCATGCAGGTGATCCTTGGTCACGTCTGTACCATAATCTGTTTCGGCCTGGATTGTTTCAGCTATACGTGGGTGAGTACTGTAGTAGTACTGTCTGTGTATAATGACACGTGAATGGGAAAGAGACACGCCTCCTGTCCGTCAGACCATGCACAGGTGGACGGGATTGTGAAACAGGGACTGTTAAAAATTCACTTCTTCATGGATAACATAGTGTAAACATATGAAAAAAACAATAATGAAACTTTCATACAATTTGAATGTAAATTGTGAAACATTGTTTGCTATGTATTGAGCGAAGCCTGCATGCCTCAACAACTTTCATTAATAAGATTAATAATTATTACACTATAATAGATGTCACACAATTTTGTCACTGTAGAGACATTCTCTCTTCGCCTCTCTTTCATCCATCAGAGAACCATATTTTTACATTGCAAGTCTGTCAACCATCGTATGGACGCAGCTGGCTTCAGATAACCTAACCACGTGCAAATATGTTTGTATACAAAAGTGTGTTTAAACACATCCGCTCATGTGAAATATCAACATTTCTTGAACCCATGCTTAATATGTCTGACTGAGTAGGAATTGTAGCATGACATCCCAGATACCAAAAATATGGCCTTGAGGTTACACAGCCCAAATGAGAGACCATAATGCATATTTCAAGTTCTTTTAAAGGTTACAAGAACTCTACAGGACTACATTTCACCCTGACCTTCAATTTAATGACCTCACTATCTGATTTATTTATTTATTTCTTACTTTCTTGTAGGGCTTAATTTAATTCATACAGGTCATGTGGAAACTGTTCAAATTGTAATTGGGAAGAAATGCCCCCTTTAACAGAACCTTGTGATCCGCTTTTAACAAGAAAACACAAAGATCATCTGGTAGTGGAGCTGGATTTTATTTCTTTTTAGGACCTAAAGAATGACAGAATTTTCATATTTGGTAGAACTATTCATATAATGAAAATGTGTGTGTTGTTGATACACTCTTGCAGTGCTTATGAGGGCTGGGAACATACTGAGGGTTTTTGTGATTATAAATAGATCAGTGGCAAATGTTTGGTGCAGGGCACAGTAGTTACCAGAGATGTCCAAATGTTCTCTCTCTTTCTCTTTGGCAGGTTGTCACGTTAGTTGTTGGCTATGTGTTGGCAGTGGCCTTTAAGTGGACGCCTGGCATGGAAAGTTACTTGCGTTCCCTGTCTGTGCCTGTATGGGCAGCACTTATTTTCTACCTGGGTAAGACCCTTCTGTTATGAAACAGTGAATTATTCTGTTTGGGTTTTATGTGGCATATCATGTAGTGGTTGACTGACACAGATTTTTTGATGGTCAATAGCAATATCTTAAAGAGCAGAGTGGTCAATGGACAATATAAAGCTTGTATATATGATATCACACTATTTAATTTAAAGCTTCACAAGATAAACAGTAAATAATATGTATTCCAATTGCTGCAATGAAATTTATATTTAATTTACATAATTTTTACAAAATTGATAATGAATGATTTATTAATAATTTGATAGGAAGTAAATCTGTAAAAACAGATAATACTAATAGAAAGGTAAGCGCTTTAGTTCTTTTTCATATACTGTACAGTGTACTTTGTATAGCAGTACGGTCAAATGATAAATTAGATAGAACTGCTACTAGAAGGGTTCCCATTCTCTGTCTTTATTAGTTTACTGTCTTTGTTGAATAGTTTTATCCAATGAATTATTTGTAATAAATGATCCTGTGCATTTATGGTCAGGTGGTGGTGTTCTTGGCGCTGTTAAAGTAAAAGCTGAAAGTTTAGCATTGACCTACAGTGCTATCAGTGAAGTAATGCTAAAAAACTCTCCCTCTCTTTTTCCAGTCTCTCTGACAGGGTCGTGGCGGGTGCCTGTGTTTGTCGTGGTGGTGTTCCTGCTCATAGTGGGCTCTCAGCAGAAGCCTGTTGTTCCAGGGAAAGGTCAAGAAACAGAGGCTCTCTTACCATTTCCCTCTGTTCTTGATGTCCTCTGACCTTTGGTCCTCTCCTCTCTCTGTATAGGCGAGCTGCCTGGCCAGGTTCTCTCCTTTGCTGCTAATACGATCTTCATGGCAATCTCCTGCAGTAACTTCAGCCATGCTGAGAAGATACAGGAAGAGACAAGCACCAAAGAACAATCCAAAGGTGGCACAAAAAAGCAAACAGACCAGTATTAGATTCTAAATCGTGTAAATGTTTAAAGTTATTTGCAGTGCTGATTTTGTGGGAAAGTCAGCAAGATTCTGTGTGGGTCTGGTTATGACTTACTCACAAAAGCAAACATCTGTATCCATTAATAAGTAGATGAGATTATGATGGATGTTATTAATGTGGATTATGAGGTAGTTTATGCCTATCATCAAGTGTTTTCAGAAATATAGATTTTTCGATAACAATTACAGGAGAGAAGAGAAAGTGAGAAAGTGCAGCTGGCATCAGTGTATCAATACAGTGGAAAATGAGCACTGAAATGGTTTAAAATATTCCAGTATTAATATGCTAATATTACAATAGTAATATATTTCTGTCTTATTATTATTATTATTATTATATAATCCCTCACAGAGATATTGGGCCTGAGGAATCTCAGACAACAGTTTCAGTTGATAAAAAAAATGCTTTTTTGATTATGGTAAAAATAAATAAACTTAGATGCTGGTCAAATTTTATGCCCTTAATGTTCCCTGTGGTATCAAAAATTGTCTTAAATATCGATATTTAGATAAGGTATCAAATAAAGTTAGAAGTTCCAGTATCTACTTGACCACTACTATCTTCATTAGTAGGGATGCACCAAAATAGAAATTCTAGGCCAAAACTGAAACCCGAAAATTCTGGATGCACTTGGCCGAAAACCGAAACCGAAAATGCTTTTTAAAAATGACTTATTTCTTATTTTAAATTAGGCCTACCTTTTTTTATATTCGACTTTTTAATGATACTGAATTAAAAAAAATACAAGCCAATAAAATAAAATAACCACACACATTATTGATTAAATATCAATATATTTTTCTTTTATTCAGTTTTATTCTATGCAACAGACATTGTGAGCAGAGCGTATCGGGAAGTGGATCAGTAGCGTCATTTGACCAGTGTTGCCCAGCTATATCACACCACATGTTACAGCACAGTAGGGCTATTGCAAACAGAAGCAAGTATTATGCTACATAGAAATTTCATGTCGGCACGTTATTTTAGCAGACTTTCCGATGAGTATGAGCTATACATGAGTGGAGCGTTCGCATAGGCCGAGCAACTGAGGGACTGGACATGCATAAAGCGTAATATTGAGTGGAGCCTCCCTAATCATTAGTAAAGTGGATTTTCCCCTCTTCTTCCCCTCACAGACTTTATGGACTCTCCGAAGGCGGTCTTCAGCCGGAGTCGAAGCAGACTAGAGTTCAGGGGTCTCCAGCACAAAGAGAGGACCAGTGATATCTACTTTGTGCTGCTTGCGTGGGCTATAGTGTTGGTGCAGGTCTGGCTCAACCTCTGGATCTTACAGTTATTGCCCATCCCTGTTGCTGGTAAATTCTGTGTTCATTGTCCTGAGGTCACGAGTGTGAAGATAGTGTTCACATTTTCATGAATGAGTGCTATGTTTTTCAGTTTGGGTCCTGAAGAAGATGTTTGTGCGTTTTGGGATGAAGGACTTCGCTGGACGGACTCTAGTGAAATGGTGGTCGGCTTCTGAGAAGTTTGTCAAAGACAGACAGGATGCTCTGCTGCCTGGACCAATCAAAGGCTTAGCTCAGTTCTTGCTTCGGGTGGACACTAAGGTAACACCTCACGTAGATACACCCACACAAAAGCACTCGCCTGTCTGCTGACCCACTGTCCTTCACAGCACTTGCCTGCTGGTAGTTGTCACCACATGTGCACATTTATTTTTGGAGGCGACAGAGATCTGTGATTACAAAGAGGAACTGAATGTGGTTGTGGCTTGCTAATTCTCTTTTTTACTTGCACAACTAAGGCACGAAGTACCCATAACTGACTGAATAAAAGCTATGGAGGTCAGATGTGGATGTTTCTGTTTATGTCATGACTTGTGGGGAAAATGAATTATTCAGCAGATGTATTTTCAATGTGATGTGTTTTTCAATAAGAAAATGTCATTAACCTAATAGTTGGAACACAATTAAATGCACTTCCTGTCTTTTTGATGAGCTCAAATCAAGAGTAACTATTTTTAGTCTTTGCATAGTCATGTTGTATTTCTGGTTATTGTTGGTAGTTTTTGTTTTCCAGCTATTGTTTGAGGTTTATGATATTAGGAAGTCAACTCAACATTCCCAAAAATGTGCCCACAGTTTCTCATTGTCCCTTTCACTGTCTGAAGTGAACGACAACCCACAGCTGCAGTCAATCTAGATGAAATCTACACCTCTAAGAAACCGTTCGCCCACCTCCTGACCCATAGTAATCCAGTAATGTAACCCAGTGTCTGACTTTTGCCTTCTTTCATTCTTTCATTAGTCATTGTTGAGTCACACATGCTGTCAAAACCAAATCTATTGAAAATATGCTAGGGTCCAAAATGAACACATTTGCCAAGAAGCTAATATGAGTAAAAAATTGGCTTTGTTGAGGACTTAAACCTATTACTTGCCAGTAGCTGGTGACTTTGAGGAACTACAACATACTGTAATACATGGCCTAAATCAAATTGTAGGAAAGATAATCAATGATGTACATTACACAACCAATTAAAATCATGGAAAACATGATACTTTTTTCAGTATTCTTTGATGAAAAGAAAGTTCAAAAGAACAGCATTTATTTGAAATAGTAAACTGATCGAAAGTAACAGTAAAGACATTTACAATTTTACAAAAGATTTCTGTCACTTTTTTGATCCCAAACCTTTGAACAGTAGTGTATGTGGAAAGTTCCTTGAAATTAATCACTAGAACAAATACATTTGGAACAAAATCATTTGTCTTTTCTTTTGTGAAAGATGCAGTTTTGCTGTGAGTTTTCACTAATATGCACAGAAAAAATCAACTACTAAATAAACTAAAACAACTAAATAAAATGTGTTCTCAATAGAATGAAAACTTAGTTTTTGATAAAAAACAAACAAAATATAGTTTTGTGGCTGGTATTAAATGAAATATTTGTCAACTGAGTTTTCTTAATTCACTCACCATTAGCAGATGAGGCAAAATGTTAAACCTTGTAACTGTATCTGTAACAATTTTTTTGATTTGACTGTAATTTGCTTTATATAACCATCATATCCCTCACTGACTGTCCACAAGAATGAAAGAAGGTAAAAAAAAAAGACGAAGACACTTAAAAAAATAATAATCGTAGCCGATTATTAAGCTTTCTTTTGTCCTCTTATAAAGCCCACCAAATCACACCTTCTCTAATTGTTCAGTATGAATATCTTCCTCAAATTTCACCGACCGGTCTTGTTCTGTTTTTGCCTTGAAAACACTGCTTTCCTGCATACTGATTGGTTGTTTCTAATAACCGTTTGTCTCTCTGTCTCCCTCCTCAAAGCTCTGGCATTGGCTTAACAAGCAGGTAAATCATTTGTGCTGGCAGGTGTACAAGAGAAAGAAAGAAAGAACAAAGGGGAAGAGAAAGAAAGAATGACAGTGTGCTTTCATTAGAAGCTTTGGAGTGATGCTTTCCCCTCCCCACTGTCACCCCTCCATCTTTGAGCTTCTGCTTAGCTCACTGGCTGTTCCTGCTGTGTGGCACTTTGCGCTGTGGAAGGGAGCATGCGCTCTGGATGTGATTGAGATGCTGACACACTAACTGTCAGGAAAAAAAAAAGCAGAACAAAACCCCAAGAGAGTCCACCGCCTCTTCCACAGCTCTTGAAGTGTGCTGGGCTGGTTGTCTTCAGAGTGTGTGAGATGCATTCAGGGAGAGAACAGACAGTGGGAATGGAGGGTTGGGTGAAGGGATGCTCTGGTCTGCTGAGACCAAGGCTAGTGGTGTTGCTGGGTACTTCAGGTACAGGCAGGTTTGGTAAAGGGGTTTTCTTCTGTCTGTTCCTAACTAGACACTCAAGCTGCCTGCTGCCCTCTTAGGTATAAGTGACTGTCTTCATAAATGACTTCACATAGGAAACGCCGCACACCACACAAATAGAGCTCTGCATGGGAAACTCCACTTCACTTGATTTCAGTAGTTTGTTCCCTTTAAGACAAGTCATTTCACTCGGCGGCCATCTTTGAAACGCCTCTCGGGCATTCAAGTGCAGCTCCTATCTCTTTGAATGGGGAAATATCAAATTCTCCAAAACTGTTCGCCAAGCTTACGATTAAATTTGAAATCACCAATGAAATCTGTCAACAACTGTCTTATAAATTTTGTTTGTAAACACTCGAATCATGACGGTGGGTGTGTCTCTGAACACTGACTGCTTCTATTGGAACCGGAGCTTCTAACGCCAGCTGCTGTGATGCGATGACATTACCGATTGGCTCTTTTATTTAGAAGGTGGATCTTATTCCGCCATATTGTGCGTTGAACTTTCTCCCATTCATAGTAATACGAGTGCACCATCTTTCTGTATATAAAGTCTTTGGTTTAATGTTAGCATGTTGCTAAGCTAACAGCTTGATGCGCTAACAAGCACACGCAAATATTGAGTAAAATCATCTCATTTTAATTACATAACTTATTTACATTGATGCTTTTCGGTGTTGAATGAAATTTAGTAATAATAAGTATATAAATATAATATAACCATGTACACTAAACCCTTTAATTTTTTTGGAAAAAAAGAAGAATATTCAGCAAGGCTACATTAAATTGATCAAAAGTGACGAGTAATGTTATATTTTATTTTATAAAGCATTTTTCAAAGTTCATTTGAGCTTTCTATTCATCAAATAACCCTGAAAGAAATGTATCACGATTTCCACAAAAACATTAAGCAGCAAAACCGTTTTTATCATGGATAATAATAAGAAATGTGTCTTGAGTAGCAAAATCAGCATATTAGAATGATTTCTAAAGGATTATGTGACAAAGACTGGAGTAATGATGCTGAAAATTCAGCTTTGCCATCACAGGAATAAATTACATTTTCAAATATATTCAAATAGCAAATATTATTTTAAATTGTAACAATATTTAACAATATTACTCTTTTACTGTATTTTTGATCAAACAAATCTTTAATTATTTAAAAAAGCATAAAAAAATCTTACCAACCAATTTTCGAACTGTAGTACACATTTCTTTAGCATTATCTGCCGCCTTAAGTTTACATTTTCTTTATATTTGCTTGTTGCAATGCATTTCTGTGAAGAATGTCTTATGGAACAAACACTTAAAAAAAGGATTAATTCCAGAGAATTTCAAGAGAATATTAGAGCCAATAACAAAATATTTAGTTCACCATTGTGTTCAAAGCCTTTTAAATGCGCATTCCATGTCTTATTATGCATGAATATAGTTGTGTTGTTTCAAAGGAAAAAAAGAATATCTGTGTAATCTTTCAACAAAATGTAAAAATGTGATGTTTTTTTTTCAAGGGAAACCAAACAAACTATCTATCTATATTCCATCCTGCAAAAATTTAGCAATATATATTTAGAAGGAGATGTTGGAAAGACTTCAGAATATTCTGTCAAAGAAGTTTTTAGTTTGTTTGTTTTCTGTTAATGTTCTATATATCATCTCCTGGACCAAATTTTGTCTGATTAAGATGAATCTGACTGTGGCTCAACAGGAGCAGATGGTGATGAAGTTATTTTCAGGTATGATAGTATGTCCCTCCCCTCGGGAATCTTTTTGCATTTGCCAGCATTACTTTGCAACTGTGTATCAGGCCCTTAACGTTTTGAAGAGGGAGTGATGCGGTTCTTTAGCCTTTTTTAGTCTTTCTTTAGTTTCCTTAATGATGTGCTTTGTACTAATCCATCATCAACATGACCAATTTTGTGTGTGATGTTAATACTTAGCGCTAACAGGAACAGGGAACAGGATTAGACATGCAAGTGCTGCCCACAGGGCCTACAGAAGCTGGGTGAGCAGAGAAACCAAGTCCACCTGCCAAAAACAAAAATATGCCCACCACCTCCTGTTTCCTGACAGCTGTTGTTAGCCTGCTGTTAGTTTTTCACTCAGTAGTTAGTCTTGCTTAGTCATCCAACAGGTTAGCGGGTGTAAAATAAAGAAAAGTCATCATGACTTTGGCTTATACGGCAGTTACGTGTGTGAATTTTCAACAGAATTAATATTTTCACAGCCTAAAAAAAACTCAAATAAGGCTGGAAAAATTAACCTCTCTGTACCTTTCTGAAGCTCGGAACTTATCCATGAATCCTCTGCTAAGTTTTCAAAGGAACACTTCACCCAAAAATGTTGTTTTTAGTTAATACAACGGTCTGTTCCTCACACAAAACTGTTGGAGGGCTTTAGAAAACTTGAAGTCCGTTTTTTAACTTAACAGAATAAATAACTTCCCGCTTTAGTTTTTATTGGATTATCATTTCTCCTGTTAACCAAAAGTAAACAAGGATATAACAATATATTTCATTGTTGAGTGAACTGTTCCTTTTTATTTTATTTTACTGAAAAAGCATTTTACTTTTAGGTTTTCAGAACCAAAGGAATGAACACGATTGCTCCTCAGGTTTGGCAGAGGGAAGCAGGTTTCTGTGTTCTCACACACTTGCATGAATGATCAGATTATTTGTTGAAACTGATCTCTCTTTCTCTCTCTCTCTTTGCAGATGATCGTGTGGCTGGAGCGCTCCTTGGATAAGCTGATCAGTATTTTCATTATCTTCCTGCTGGTAACTGGCACACTGCTCATGGCCTTGCTGCTCACAGCTATGGTACAGTGTTTCCAATCCACTGTCCTTGGGCGGATTATTCCACTGCGTGAAAGACATGATCCATGACTGATCGCAGCCACCGCACACATCATCTCTCACCGATTGTATTTTTGTTCACAGGTGCACCAAGAGAGTGTTCATATCATAGAGGTCACCAGTAACCTGATCAACGAGACTGTGTCCAACCACCCAGAGTGGGCCAAGTAAGTTGAAACATACACTGGAAGTTAGGAATCTTCTTGAAATGATGCGTAACAGAGTGTGTGTGTGTGTGTGTGTGTGTTGTAGCTGGCTCCCAGAGGCCCAGGTTGTTCAGAAGGCTTTAAACTCTGCTGCCACAAATGTTTACCAACATGGAAGAGAATGGATCACACATAAGGTCAGAGTTAAGAGTTTACAATTCTCTTGAAGACCACATGAAACAACATTTATAACAAATTTAATGAGACTGATAAATGAAAGTAAATGGTGACCAGTGGCTGTGAAAGGACAAAAATGACAACAAAAGCAAAGATTTGTTCCATACAAATCTTGGGCTGTATTCCAAGTCTTCTGAAATAATATGATAGCTTTGTGTGAGAAACTGACCAAAACTGAAGTTATTCATCTGCTTTTAAAATGTAATTTGTGTCATTTAAATATGCCCTCATTAAAAAGTATTATTAAAAAAAGAGTACTAATTATGGAAATTACATACTTTTAAAGAATGTACATTTATAGAATAGACACTTAGTTGCATGTTAATTGCAATTAAATGAAAATGTATTATAGTTTAAAGTTTTAATAAATGCAATTAGCTGAACTTTAGAGTGCTTTTTTGACCCACTTAAATGTAGTATTGAATAACACAATAACAGTAACTCACTTTACCTATGCTTAGTATGTTAGTCAACGCATCAAAATAAATGTACTTCTTTAAAACATGACAAACAATCATTAAAACATGAATTAAAATGTACTTTAAGTATGCTTAAGTGGCCTTTTATTTCATTTATATTATATTATCTGCAAGTACAGATTAAAAAAAATGTGGTAACACTTTTTAAAAAAAATTTTTTTTTTTTTTACATACGTTACATGTACATTTCATACAATTAACCCTCAACCAAAACCCTAAACATATAGTAAGTACATGTTGTTTATTAATCTTACTCAGTACTTAAATATATAATTGCACTGTAACAATTACACCTTAAAATAAAGAGTAACCAAATATGCTTTTGTAGTGTACCTAAAATCTTAAGTGCACATTCAATACATTTGAGTGCACTTTTTTGCACCAGGATGTGCATATACAAATGTGACACGGTCGGTTAGAAGAATAATCATGGGTTTGTTAGGGTAAAAAAAGGTGATGACAACATAATGAATGGACTTGATTTTATCGATACAATCATGAAAAGTAAGCTATTATTGGTTCATATTTTTTATGCTCAAGCAACCTTGGTTACATCAGCAGAAAAAAATAGTTTCAGAGCTGGAGAAGTTAGAAAACAAACATTTCTTTTTGTTAAATAACAGATTACTCCATTTAACATTTAATTATAAAATTTAATTATTAATTGGAGTCAAATTGTATTTCATGTTCAAGGCCTTAGTCTTTTATTCTTTATGTCTGTGTGTAAAATTGAATGAGCATTTGTTATATGTGTGTTTTTATGTATGTGTGCATTGTAGCTTCATAAGATGTTGGGTGATAAAGTAAACAACACGGCCGTAATAGAGAAACAAGTTCTGGAGTTGTGGGACCGTCTCTATCAGTCCTGGATTGTTAAGGTAAAAACAAAACCTTACTCGGTCGCACACAATCACTAACTTACATTATTTGTTGTATTCCAGTCAGTGTGTTTTTGTTTTGTAGAACGTGACTCATACTGGACGGCACCGTGGAAACAAGCAACATATGTACAGGCAGAACAGCTGGCTAGGGGACATACTGGACTGGCAGGACATCGCCTCATTCGTGCAGGAGAATATTGAGACTCTGCTCTCGGTTAGTCTCCAGTGTGTGTGTGTATGTGATGGGGAGTGTCTTTATTTGGCAGATTAATGAATATGCTGTCTTCTGCGATAGATCTTGGAGTCTCTGTGGGTGGTGATGAGTCGAAATGTTGGTTTGCTGATATCCACAACAACCACGCTGCTCACCGTACTGTTCCACAGTGGCACCGCACTGCTCAACTTTGTCCTGTCTCTGGTAATAGACACACACACACACACACAGTTGGATTGATGGGATTGGATATTTTGTGGTGATTTTAAATATTTATTGTCTCTCTGAATGTATAGGTGATTTTCCTGACCACACTTTTTTACCTGCTGAGCTCCAGTGGTGAATATTATAAACCTGTGAAATGGGTAATCAGCCTCACACCCCTCTCCCAACCGGGACCCTCTTCAAACATTATCGGCCAGTCTGTGGAAGAGGCCATCAGGTACACATGTCCATGTGGAGATTTGGTTTGTCTTAAAGCAGTGCTTCTCAACCCTCTCTATATAGAGAGATTGAACATAACTAAATACATATATATATATATATATATATATATATATAAACATAGGAAAATTATTTAGTTAATATACTTAACTTTATAATAAAACTAATTTTTTTTTATATATAGACCCTGCAGACCCTTTGTAAATTTGCTGAGCCCCCTGGTTGAGAACCACTGCCTGAAGGGACATTTAAGGTTAAATGTAAACATGTTGCAGTTTCCACAAACACTAATTTTCACTCGTCCATCAGTTTGTAAAAGCAAAGGCAAAAATGCGTGTACAGTAGCAAGTCTGTATGAGGTGGAAGCAGCAATTAGATCTTATAGGGATAGTTCAAAAATGGAAATCCTGTCATCATTTACTCACCCTCATTTTGTTCCAAATCTGTATGACTTTCTTTCCTCTGTGGAACACAAAAGAGACTTTGAAAAATGTTGCCATATTTTGTCCATACAGTGAAAGTCAATTCTCAATGTTGATTGGACCCCAAAGTTTTTCCGAATATCTTTTGTGTTCTGCAGAAGAAAGAAAGTCATACAGAATTTTTATTTTTGGGTGAACTATCCCTTTAACACCAGTTAAAGACGCTGTACTTTGTAATCACCACAAGAGGGCAATACTGTTCTGCTTTTTCTGCCATTTTTTCCATTTGTACAGATAATTTAACAGAGATCATGATCGGAACAACTGAAATGGGGGTGAAATTGACTGCTATTAATATGCTGGTTAAGAATTTCGAAGGGGTTCATCTACAGGTAAGGGTGACCCAGAAAATGGAGAATGAATGGGGTCATAGTCTTGCTGTAGCGCAGCGGTGCCCTTGAGCGTGATGCTTCTCCAGTGGAAATTAGCATAATGTAATTGGCTTAGATAAAGACATCTGTTATTTTTTTTCCAAGCACAATAACATCATTTTCCCTCCATAGACCATAATGTCATGAGCTGTGAAAGTGAAATGAGGAGAGGAATTCGGTGTGAGCTCAGTGTGTATGTGTGTGCGCTGATGCTGCCATCACCCAGAATGCACAAAGCTGTTCCATTAGACCTATTTTTATGAGCGCTTTCACAGAGAGACTTATTCACTCTGACTCCCGTCAGTGTTAAGCTAACTGAGAAAAGAAAAGCCCTCTGTGTTTCCACTCTCTCTCACCCTGTTTTCTTTGCAGGGGTGTGTTTGATGCCTCTCTGAAGATGGCTGGATTTTATGGCCTTTATACTTGGCTTACACACACAATATTTGGCATCAACATTGTCTTCATCCCCTCAGGTAAGACTAAAATACACACAGACATAGAGACTTTTTGCATGTGGTGTGAAACAGTCCTTATAGTGTATACAACAAAATAAACAATCTTTAATCAATAAGATTTATTTGAAAGAATTTAATACTTTTATTCAGTAAGGATGCATTCGATTGATCAAAGTTGACAGAAATCGTTTGTAACATTAGAAATGTTTTTACTATTTAAAATAAATGTGTGATGAACAGAAAGTTCAAAAGAACAGCAATCTTGGTTTCCACAAAAATATTAAACTGGAAAATTGTTTTCAACATTGATAATTATAAGAAAGGTTTCTTTAGCATCAAATCAGCATATTAGAATGATTTCTGAAGGATCATGTGTGGCTGATGGCTGCTAAAAATTCAGCTTTGTCATCATAGGAATAAATTACATTTTAAGATGTATTCAAACAGAAACAGTTCATTTAAATTGTAATAATATTTCACAATATTGCTGTTTTTACTGCATTAAAAAAAAAAAATGCAGCCTTGGTGAGCATTAGAGCATTAGAGAAAATCTTAGCAACCCCAAACTTTTTGAACGGTAATGTACATTTATCTGTCTATGTCATATTATTCCATCTCATATTTGTCTTGCCTTTCTATCTTTTGCTCTGTGCAGCAATGGCAGCTATCTTAGGTGCGGTGCCGTTTTTGGGGACGTACTGGGCGGCACTGCCAGCGGTGTTGGATTTGTGGTTGGCCCAGGCGGAGGGAGTCAAAGCTCTGCTGCTTCTCTTCTTTCATCTGCTGCCAACATATTTCGTTGACACGGCCATATACTCCGATATATCAGGGTGTGTTTGTCTCGTCTTTATACTTACTTTACATGTGCCATCTCTGGTGTCCAAAATTGGTTGACGGTTTAACATTTTTTACTAACCCATATATATTTCTATGCAGAGGTGGACACCCGTATTTGACTGGTCTTGCGGTAGCAGGTGGAGCGTACTATTTGGGTTTGGAGGGTGCCATCATTGGGCCTATCCTGTTGTGCATACTGGTGGTGGCATCCAACATCTACAGCGCCATGCTAATGAGCCCTAGCAGCAGCCAGGCAACTCCAGTGCAGAGCCACTTCCCTGTACATCATGGCAGGTTATATAAACCTTGGTTGTGTCCTTAATAACTACTTTTTACATTGTAATCACCAATTGAACTCTTTTTTTTTTTTTTTTTTTTTTTCATCAATTCTCAGGTCATTTGCAGAAACCCCAATGCAGCTGAAGAGAAGCAATGAATAAAAGAGACACCTGACCAGCCTGTTACACTTCGCTCTGGGGTACCCCTGCAAGACTACAAAAGAGGAAACTTGCGGATACGGAAACTTTCCGTCTCCTCACCCTAAGGGTTCACACGGCAACAGAATTGCTACTTTCACTGCAAATGTGGCTCTAATAGCACATAGCTTAATCATGGCCCTTATTGTTGCCCTCTGTGCTAATAGGTCATTTAGCACTGAAAATCCGGGCACAAAAAAACGCTACGCTGCTTGCACACTCCAGTGCAAAGTTTAGTTAGCACGCCTGTGCTTTGTCCAGCACTGTACTTGGGAATTATGCCAGTGCTGTAATACCTTCAGTTAGCACACTAACAATACTACATGTTTACATCATGCTTTACTGTAACAGCTCACCAGGGTCCCAGTCATCGGACCATATTTTCAGGCTATAGATCACTGATGGTTTTTGTTTATCTGGTTGTACTGATAATTTATCCCATATTGTGGATGTTTGGCACTGTTAAATGGTTATATGTGTGTGTGTGTGAATGAAAGGACATTACTCTTAGATTTACTATTCAAACATTTGTTTAAAGTGTTACATCTTTCTGTTTCCATACATTTATAGTATGTGTTCCTGGAGATCTACCTGCGGAGTTAAGTCTCAACCCTGCTCATTCACTACGGCCTGTAGAATGAAATGGATCTTTTGATTTGATTAGACGTTTAAATGATCTTTACAGGATGATCTCCAGGAGTAGGACTGAACAGCGCTGAGTCTGACCTATACAAATATCCTATATCAGGTGGAGTATTTGTTTATGAACAAAAATACTGTAAAGTAGCTTTAACTATAACAATGTGAAACTAACTTAACACAACAAACTAGTCAGAGTGTTTGCATCACACAGTTTTTACGTTCATATTACCTCAAATGTCTTAATGAATTTTTCTCCGGTTCTGTTGGCCATGCGTGAAGTACATTGTAATATTAATGTACTATTGATCTTACATATGCATTTCTTTATCTGTGTTGGATTTCATTTCTATACGCATAACTTCCTGCTTAGGAAAGATGTTAAAATCCCTGTTTTTTATTAATATGTGGCCATTCCTCTTTGTGAATATAGTAGTATTTGCTCTATGTATTGTTTAGTAATCAAACATTGGAAATATTAAGCTGTTAGCAGAGATACACAGGTAGGTACAGCTGAAGGCAAAGAGAATGATTAAATGCTGCTGGCTGCTTGTGTACAGATGAGGAGAGATGCCTGTAAGTCAAGCTTGAATGCATTGCACTGAATAGATAAAGCACTCACTCTGCTGTTTCCCAATATTATTTTTTCTTTCTTTATTTTGGCCAGGCTGTTCAAAAAGCCTGTTCACATGTTCTTTTAAAGACGTTTCAAGAGTGAAAGTGGATGCACTTTTTTTTTCTCGGTTCAAGCCAAATAAGAGAGTGTGTGTATGTGTATATATATACATAAACATAATCATGGTTTTATGTTTTTTATTATGTTTGTTTATATGCAGAACTAAAATTGTTTTAATAAAACTGAATTTTCAATTGGGTACATCTGTATCTTTCTGGATAAAGAAACTCAGTGTAAAATTGATTTGTATTTTATCAGGCTTATTTAGGGAATTGGATGTTGTAACCCACTGAATATACTTTTAGGCATTAGAGAACACAATTCCTGAACTGATCTTAAACCTCTGAATATTCAGTCATGTTCAAATTATTGACGTTTAAAGCATTTATGCCTCAGTCAATAAGTAACTTTGCTTTTCGAGGGGAGAGCTGCACAGAACTGCTGGTCTAGGATCAGTTTTCTCCGTAATAATAGCGTATTGACGATACAGATTTTGGTGTTCTCTGTTTGATTGCGCTGTTCTCTTGAAAGCATCAAAGGTTTCTATTTACAACGTGTTTTGCAGTATTTCATTAAGCCGGGAACACACTTAACAACTAGCTGAAGCATTCTAAGACTGAACTGAACACACTTACAGACTTTCCAACGACTGGAGCAGATTTTAAACACCGACTGAACGCAACTGTCTCTGAGTCGCGTTTGGGCATGATCAGTCGTAATAATTCTGGGTTATAGGCCATGAAGGAAAGCTTCTATACTCTTTGACCGTATAGTTAGACACATGTATGAATATCTACAGTATATCTGCAATAGACTTCAGCAGATGATTTTGTTAAACGTACACAATACAAGACAAAGGCGTCAGACATTAACAAGTTACCATAGTAAGAAAAACATGTAATATTGAATTAATACATATAAAAACATAAACCAACACATTCTCAACTGTGAAAGGTAATCCCATTTCTTCGGGAATTTAAATCTCTGCAGTTTCACAACCTGAACCTGCGCAATGTTATGGCATCATTGATTCTTACTGCGACGTGCCTGGAGCGGTGGAATGTGGCATCTACATATATCTATGGTGAAGGATCCATCTGTTGTATCCTTCATTGCCGGGGGAAACGGACGCATAGGCTGCATTTGAATCGGCCTTCGAAGGATGCAGCCTCTGAATTGGGACGCAGTGAATGTGTCGTTTGACCCCAGATGCCCTCTGATGAGTTCACACGTTACCTGCCATTCCTCACACCATCATATCAGAAAGCTATAAATTGCACCACCTCAGAATAGATTGAGGTGGGATTGAAATCGATTGCCATTCACTCTTTCTCAATTACACTGAACTGGGCTATTGACTATCTCTATCTCGGGTGCAGTGTGAGTGAATGAGAGAAGCCTGATCACTGTAAGGGAGTGGATCTCTCACCTGTTAAATGAACATCAGGACGAGTGGCTTCGGTTTCTGATTAATAACCATTACTTTTTACTTTTTTGTGTGTCATACTTTTTTTTCTTTGTCAAAAGAAGAGAATATTTTAATGAAATAACTGACAGTTTAAAACTGAAATAGCCTAATGCTTTTTTTAAATGCCTAACTTACTGCAGTGATAAAAGTTAATATTTCAAAGGTCATGAATAACAGCAATTATTACATAAACAACATATATTGCACATACATCATGAAACCTGACATAAGCATGCTTGCATGACCAATATAAAAAATGGCATACTGAAGCATTTTAAGGGCATGTATGAGCACCAGGTTCCCAGAGGAACCAGTTCATTCCAAACCTTACTCACTAGTCACTGTTCCAGCCAATTCAGCAAACCAAGTCTTTTATTCTGCCTCATAACACAAATGTAGTACTCCTGAGAAAAATCAGCAGTTTGAAAAGAGGAAATGATTTTGGGGAAACCAGGCATTCAGGCTTAGGAACAGGGATACTGCATATTAAAAGCAGGATCTTGTCTGGTACTTTATTAAAATCTGGATTCAATATTAATAATTCGCTAAACTAAAAGACGCTATTTTATTTTCAACCACTATTAATATACTTGAAAATATATCCTAGTTTAAAAATTAACTTTCAAATTAATCTTCAACTAAAGATGGCAATATGGAAATAGAATATATTTTAATGAGTTTATCCAATTCAGTTTCCCCAAGGCAAACAAACACTGGCTAATTAGATCGTTAGTAAGTGTTCTTGTCAGTGCTTTAATCTTTTGAGTGCAGTGGTGTGAGATCTTAGAGCAAAAGCTGAGTAAAATGAAATGTACAAATACGGATGTTTTTTTTTGTTTTTTTACTTTAGTACCATGGCCTTAACCTGAGTATCTGAGAAGGTCTATGACACCCATGCTTCAACACCACCAAGAGATAAACCAAAGCAAGGCAAAACTCTGAAACAGTTTGAACATTGCACTTGCACTTTTGAAGAATTATGAAAGTTGTGATAATTTTGATCATATTTAAGCTTAAATATCCAGCAAAATAGTGCTATGACAGCCTTGTATGGTGCCCCACTGCATCACAACCTAATGACCACTGCCATGGAACTAACTCAAACTTAGCAGTTCTCAATAAACATGTTTATTAATAATAAAGTGATATAGCAGCATGATTTGGGATTTGTGGATCAGTTTTTTTAACCATAAAACTGTGTGTGTCCGCACATGAACAAAGAACATAAATGCTAATGGAGAAGTTGGACTGTAAACTTTCTGTGGTTTATTTCTGTGGATGATCTCAACACAGGGCTCTCTAACCCACCAATCAGCAGGCCAGACCCTCCTCAATTAAACATAGAACACAAAAACAAAAGACATCCCTTTGACAAATATAAACACACACACACACTTGTTCACACTCACATCTACACAGATGATCTTGAGGCCCTGTCCAAATGCTTGCAAGATCTTCACCCAACCTATGCATTGAAACCACCCTTTTATTTAGAACATATGAATCATACAATTTAGAATCCTTTTCAGAATCTAGAATCTGCATTTACAAACATACAATTAGAATTCTAGAATTAAAATCTCACAATATAGAATTTTTATTTAGAATCTACAATCTTACTGTTTAGGGTATTTTTTTCTGTATTTAAGCTAAAATGAGCTTTCTAATGAATTTTGCATTTTCAAATCTCACAATTTAGTTATCTTGTTTAGAATCTAGATTTTTTGCAAAAAAAATTTTTTAGAATCTTGAATCTGTATTCACAATGTTACAATTTAGTATCTCAAAACGAACAATATTTATAATTATTTTTTCTCCTTTTTTCTTGAATGTAGAATCTTATATTTTGGTACACGTTGACACAGATAGTACAGATCATTTGAAGTATTTCGACAGGGTCAAGACAAGAGTGTTTATGGGAAAACAAAAAAAATCACAACCGATTCCTGATTCCACATGACAACTCTCATAACAGAGGGGTTCACTTTCATTTTCCAACCATCACGGCTGAAACGAAATGTTGGACCATTTAAAACTAAATTCAGAAGAATGAAATGCATGAATCTGAAATGCAGGCCAATCTCTTTATGCTATCAGACATCAGATGAACGTGGTGAGCAGCTTCCAGTGCCTCACACGGGCACTAGACTGTCAGCTTCAAATGAATGAATGATGAATTCTACACAAAAATCAGTAACAATTTAAAGTGA